CCCCGTAGTTATGGCTGTTGGAACTCTCCAACTTTATGTTTATGGACAATCTATGGCAACTTCATTGAATGTCCCAGCGCCAACACTTGAGAGCTTTAACATTGGAGAGTTCGAATGGGAATCACAATTACCTCCACAGTTTAATTTACCGAGCTGTACCTTTGTTAATGGTTATGCGGTTGTAAAGAATTTTCTCCTCATTTCGGTTGCAGATTTCAATGGTAGACGTTCTCGTAATGAGTTTTTCTACTGGAATTTCTCTGGTGGTTCTAATTCCAAAAACAAGTGGGAGAAGATGATCTTGTCAAACGGCCAAAAAAATATACACTATCCATTCTCTGGGAAGGCTGAGTTTGTTGAAGATGTGATTTATTCATACAATAGAGGCTTGTATGCATACCGGGTTGATTGCTGTTCTGACAAAGAAGGTCTACAGATATCTCCTCCTCAGCTAGTTGGATTTCCCAAGTTTGCAGCCCCGCCTGTGGATTGGTCTGATTCCATCCATTTCTCGTTCAGCTGTGCATATATGGGGATTGGGAAGAGATTCTGTATCATCAGGACTGGGGACTCGGGTTGTATTGGTGACCAACAATTCGTGGCCGTATCTGTAGTTGAAGTTTCTGGAGATATGCATTGTCTAACAACCCTCTCTTCGACAATCTGCGCACTCGACATCAGTGGCCTCGGCAGTGACTTGATCCTCGATACTTGCTTTGTCAAGTAATTTCCATGATTAGCTTAATTATCTGCCTATATCTCCCCTGTCCTTAATAAATTGTGTCATCAGCTGTACTAGTGCTTCTCTATTAATTAGAGGATGTAATATTCCTGCATGCTATATATATATAAATAAATAAAATTTTGTTGTCCAACAATTCTAATTGCATTCTTTTGATCATCATTCGACTAAGCAAGTCTGATGCATTGAGTAGCTTTCGACATTTCTTTTACGTCCTCGTTCTTCATTTTATTAGGAAGATAGGAAAAATCATTCAAACCATTTTGTGAGCGACGAATTACAGAGTATAATTGGTTGCCTGAGCCAGTTTGTATGCCGTTGGTTGCGACAGACTCTTTTTTTCTTTGTTTTTATTTTTTTTTATTTTTTTTATTTTTTAATCCATTAAGAGATGATGTATAAGGTGATCATTAGGTATGTGGCTGTGGAGATTTCCATTTGGATAATTGGTTTATTGAGAAAGTTGTGTCTTTCTTGGGTAGCACCTAAATACTACTTGGGGCAGGGAAACTTCGGGCCTGGCCTTTAACGGCCTCTCTGGTTGGAATTAAGGGCTGGCCTCTTTGACTAGGGCAAGGGGAGAGCGCGAGCTAAAACCACACGGTGTAAGGCTCGGGTATTTGCCTCTATACCCTCGAGTAGGAGTTTGTGTACCTGTTCCGGTCTGAATATCTCCTGATCCGTGGACGTAACCTTTAGTTAGGGTGAACCACGTATATCTTGTGTTTTGTGTGCATGATTATTCCATTATTACTCTTTCGGTGGATCTTGGTGTTCCTTGTGCTTTCCCTATGCCCCAACACCAATAAGTCCGTAGAACTCGAAAGGTTGAAAAATTCACTCAGTTTTGCTGAAGTCAAGAATATGAACTTGCGGATTCATTAAGGCAAGAATAATTTGTGGTTTTTGCAGTTGAACTTAACAAGCCTTACAATGAGGTTACAATGTTGTTTTCAGTCCATGCATCAGAATTATGGCTGCTTGCAGCTAGCCTTGGTCATTTGCTTTGGTTGCTTGGCCTTGGTCGTGAAGTATTTGTTTGATGGCTTTTGTGCTTTGTTTGTACATACTGATCTATATGAGAGCTAATCCTTTACCAGGAAAAAAAAAAAGGGGGTTCAAAGTTTGTGGTTCTTTGGTTTGTCCTTGAAAATTTTGTGGTCCTTGTGATTTTATTTGTTAAATCAAACTGCCAAATGCCAATTGAAATCTGTCAGACTTCCAAAATATTTATGTTGTTTAATTAATCAGCATTTTATCTTGTTTATCATATTGTTATCCAGTTTTTCGGTGGTTTGTTTTCAGAGGCAGAGATTGGGAGCAAGATCCCTTTGAACTTTGAAGGATGGGATCGGAAGGCAGATCCCTTTGAAGGTTGGGAGCAAGATCCCTTGGGAGGTTGGGTGAATGGATAAGAGTATAATATGATATGAATTTATTTTGTTTGACGAGCAAATTTGGGATTGTGCATGTATTTTGTGGAGCTTGGTAAACTTTAATGTTATGAACACTTATTTTCCTTGTTTCTTAATCTCAAGTGTTGGATCTGTGTCTTTCTGGTAATGGAAATTTGAATGAAAGGTGGTCTATATTTATCATGCAATGATGCATGTATCTTTTAGTGGCTTTTTATTGCATGGGTTTAGGTAGATAATACATTACTTGCTTAATTTTTATAGCATGAAATGAAGGGTGACAGGAATGGTGCGGGGATCGCTTACGATCTTGGAATCAATCATCAGTTATTCCCTCCTACTTAACCAAAGATTTGTCAAGAAGGAAAAAATTAGTTAACCTGTAAACATTAACAAGAAGGCTCTATCATGCCAACACCATTATACAATTTAAGCTAAATTAGATTTTGAAGGATAACGAGTGCTTGAACATTTCACATCTGTGCATACTGATTTTGAAGTGCCAACCTCTCTGATGTTTAGATGTGCAATGCCTAAATCTGTTTGTGGCTGCTGCCCAAGAAAGAAGGGTAGATGGGATGCGAGATTTCCAGATGACTAAGGCCAGGAAGAAAAGGCCTAGCATGCCAAGGGTTTGATTCAGTTTGGTGGAGGCTAACTTCTTCATATCTGGAAGTGGTTCAATTCGTAAGGACGTGGCTATAAGAAATAATTTATCTGAACAATCCTATTGGGCAATGGAGTTTTATTTCTAAACCGCACATCAACCTTAGTTGATTGGACTTTTTCATGTATTTCCAAACAAATTTAATAATTTCTTCCCCATTTATGTATCCCAAACCTCTTTGTAGAGAGCAAGCAATATCTTCTATGTATTTTGTCCCATACAGATGGGCAGTTTTTAAAATGGATATTCGCATGTATCCCTGCTCAAAAATATAATTCCTACCTTGCCCTCGTGTGTTCCTAAAATCTAATGGTTTCGTACCTAAGCGAGACTATCACTCAAGAATGTTGGGACAGTCCACGGAGGACCGTTATGCAATAAAATAGTTCTGAAGATTATTGATCTAGAAGACTCTTGAGTCCACATGAAATCATCATGACAACCTTTGATGAGCAACCCAGTCCAACTAATTTGTAAATCCGCTAATTTGTAAATCCGCGATAATATTCTGCACTGAAACCAAATCATCAACTACCTATGTGAACCCTATAACTTTAAGCAGACTCGTACTTCCTCTCCTCACTTTATCACCAAAGTTGTCATTTACAGCACCAAGCTTTCATTTTAACAATCAATGCACTTTACAAGCTCTAGAAAAGCCAGAGTTACCCGCCATTGAGAAATTAGCTTCGGTCATACAAAAACAATTACAAATCAGGGATTCTCATCAAGTGCCCGGGAGCCAATTCTGGAAAAGAAATCACCACCATGGACCAAACTATTGCTGAACTCTGTGAAGGTTCACAAGGTCTTGCGGATGCTATGCACCCGAAGAGCTCGAAAAGATAAGAAAGGAGATGAGCAAAGCCGACGATTAAGAAAGACAATCTATCACCGAGTAGGATATAGCCGAATTCCTGAGTGACTACAGTATGGTAGAATATCTCGGTAAGCTTCTCAGTCAGATCTCGTCCTAACGTACACCCTGGATGTTTGATAATGGAGATGTTCCTTATATTTTCCTTGTGGCCTGTATAAATCATTAAGCCATTTAGGACAACTATGGAATCGGATTCACCTAGAAGTTATGTTTGATATTTATTTTCTAAAAAATTAAAAAAATAAATAGAAAAATAACCGGGTTTAATCCATTTTACTTGCTAACGAAATCCAAAAAGAGATCAATTGTACATAATCCTCTCCATTTGTGGGACTTTTTTACCTTTTCTGGATCAATTGGAACGGATGAAAATCGAGAATCCACCAAAAAGTCCATGAACAATATGCTCTATCTAAAGATAAATCACAAAACTTAAAGTCTAACAAGATATATTTTTAAGATATCTCAACATATTTACATCTGAAATTCAAATAAAAGCAACAAACAATATAATTAAAATTGCAAAACGAAGTTTGAAGAGCTTACCTTTTCTCACTTTAAACTCTCTCTCTTCACTCGCCTTAATTAGTGTAAAAGCCGAAGTAAAATGAGAGACTAGAAGGAAGTGGGAAACTTGCTTTAGAAAAACACAAAAACAAACAAGAAAAAAGTGCAAAAAAAAAAGTTTAAAGAAGCCTCAATTGGAAAAGAAAAAAATTGAGAAAGGAAGAGAGGGTTCAAAAGGAGATAGATAGATACTGAGTATATTATATATATATATTGTTAAAGGTCCATAAAAAATTTTAAAGGGCCACCAACTATAAACTATCTTAGTTACCTAAACTATTTTTTTTTGTTTTAGCCTATACTTCAAAAAAAAGTTTTCAAAAATTTTGGGTGGGGGCACCTGCTCCTTTAGAATTGGATGCTTACTTGCAGCATGTCTTCTAGGTTTTTTATGCTGATATCCAAGCCATACTTTTCAACCCTCTATTGCATTCTCAATTCTCTGGTTTTTTTTTTTTTTTTTTTTCTATAATATTTATCAATTCACAGATACAAAGATGTTTTGCGTCCATTGTAAATCCAAAAGGGCAAAAAAGAAAGTATTCATTAACGATGTTTCAAGCTTCTTAAGTAGCCTATTCAGCTCATTCTTAAGTGGACTTGGATTGTTGGCCAAACGAGAAACAATCATAAATATAACTGTTGACCAAACGAGCATAAAACCAAATAAGCTTGATTTATATTATTGTTGAGTCAAGTCCCAACTGTCATAAACAATTTGGTTCACAGATGGTCCTGGTCTACTTTGATCTTAAATTTCAATTGATATTTTGAAGTTTACTTCCCATAATCATGGTGGATTACCAGTTTACTTCCCTGCAGGTGGATGATTAAATTCCAACATTTAAGGCCCTTCACAATCTATAAATATATTGCATGTCTTCCCACACATAAAAGTTCATGTAAGAAAATTAAAAAAAAATTGCGCAAGTAAGCTATGGTTTGTTCATGTAACCAAGAGCAAACTCCTGATTGCGTACAAAAACTTAGTAGTACTTAATCAACCTCCTCAATGTTGGGGCCTGCGCCACTTCCACCGGCTGAAGATGGAAATGGTGTGGTTGCAGATGCTCTCAAGTTCCTTCCTGTCCATCCACTGTATGGCCTCGTCAATAGAATCCTCGATCTCCACCACGTCTGCCTGTGAGAGATTACCAGCTTTCCTCATCTTATACGCGCAATCTTCCAAAGTATTCTTGACTTCAGCCCTTTTCTTGTAGTCCTCATCTTCAGACTTGTACTTCTCAGCTTCCTGAAGCATCTTCTGAATCTCTTTCTTGGACAACCTGTTCTCTCCATTAGTGATAGTGATCTTGTTCCTTTGACCAGTGGTCTTGTGCTCAGCCGAAACATTCAAGATACCATTGGCATCAATGTCAATGCAGATGTTGATATGTGGAACTTTTCTAGGGGCAGGAGGAATGCCACAGAGCTCAAACGTACATCATGAATATTTTGATAAAGGGGCGTTCATAACAGTAAAAGAAAATTGAAAATAATTTCTATACTAATTCGAACTAAGTGAAATAGTAACAAACAATTTATTTAGTTTCTTCCATTATTGATACGGTGATTCCAGCCACTTACATTAAATTCATCGTCATTATGTTTGTCAAAATTCAACATCAACTATTATTCCTTGCCTTATAGTTGTGTAGCATCATTAATGCAACTACAATCATTTTTGTGTTCCAAATGAAAGATGAGTCATACGTTTTAAAATTTGCCATCAAACTTTCCAAATGCTAAATTATATTTCTTAATGATGAAGGAGCATACTTATTTGGAATTCTTGTAAATGATGGTGCATATGGCGTTAAATATCCTAACATATAATAAGGGCACCCGAATAACGAAATATTTACCGGTTAAAAAAAAATAAAGTATATAAATTGCTAATCCAGCCATGGTCGAAGCAAATAACCCGAGAGAATTGGATTAGACCTTGCTCGTCTTACGGAGCATCTGCTCTATTGATTAAAAGTTTGTTTCGAAATCGTCGTTCACTAACAAACAATGCAATCTGACTGAGAAGCACGAACCCTACGCTTTGGAGTCAATTTACTTGGAATTTGGAAAAGGTATCTGAATTGGAATAGGAATTGGAATTATAATGAAATTATATTTATATGTTTGGAACAAATTGGATTTAAAATGGGATTTTGAATAAAAATAATATAATACCATTTTTGCCCTTGTTTAATTAATAAATGAAATATTTATTTTTTTATAAAATATACTTCAAAGTTACATCAAGAAGACAAACAATGGGAATGATTATTGCTTCGTTTGGTTGGAGGGATGGAAAAATGGATGGAAGAGATAGAGGGATGGATGGATGAGGAATCCCTAGGGAACGGAAGGTGTCTCTTCCATTTTTTGTTTGGTTAAATGGAATGGATAGTAGAAATGATGGATGGGGTGATACTTTTTTTTGTTTGGTTGGAAGGAAGAAAAAGAGATTTTTTATATTTTTTTACCAATATATCCTCACTGTATAAAATAATAAAAAGTAGATATCCATTTGAATTTTTTTGAAAAGGTTAAAATTAGAAATTGCATATTGTTGGTAGTTATTCATTTTCTTTCTCCTTCCTTCCCCCCAAAATTGGGCGGATAGAAAAACATGAAGAAAGGAGAGATGAAGCTGTAGGGTTTATTTCCTTCTATATGGAGGAAAGCCCAAGTGGATTTTATGAAAAGCCCAAAGCCCAGCCTTTAGGGAAAAGAAAACCCTAAGGAAGTTAGTATAAAAAGAGAGAGAGGTTAGCCGTAAGTGTAAGAACAAAGAGAAGAAAAACACAAATTTTTTTCCATTCTACCCAGGTTTGATCAAACGTCCGATCCTACTTTGTCCGTGGTCCGATCAAGCTGAAATTTGGAGGAGACGTTCATGACTCAGTGACGCACAATCGGAACGGTGAAGATCAGATTTTGAGCTCGGGAACAGTGATTCGTGCCCATGAACAGTAACCCAATTTTGGTAGAAAAATGCAGGTTTTTCTATTCTGCCCAGATTTCATCAAACGTCCGATCCTGCTTCGTCCGTGGTCCGATCCAGCTGAAATTTGGAGGAGAGGTTCACGACTCAATGAGTTAAAATCTGAACGGTACAGATCGAATTTTGAGCTCAAGAACAGTGATTCGTGCCCCTGAACAGTAACCGGGTTTTGGTATTTTTCTCTCCAATTCTCTTTATTTTTTGCCAAGATTGTTGCTATCTTGATGAGATATTTTGTAGCCTCTAATTGTGATTAGAGAAGACTTTGTGTACCCATTATTTGGTTGGTAGTGGAGATTTTAACTGGAATGGGTCCCGTGATTTTTCTTCCTCACACTGGGGAAATTTTCCACGTAAAAAATTGCTTGTGTTCTTGTGGCTTGATGTGATTGATTTGTTCTCTATTATTTTCAGCACATATAAAAGTAAAGATATACTATATTTGCTTGCATATAGGGAGAAGAATTATTCCGCTGTGTTTGTTTATTTTCATCTCCCCCAACAAAGTGGTATCAGAGCTCTAGGTTGACAGATTGCCAGGTTGGCAGTTTGAGTTATGGAAGCAAATACGAGTAGAATGATTAATTTAAATGGTTCAAATTATCACACATGGAAAGGAAAAATGGAGGATCTTCTTTATGTGAAAGATTATAACCTACCGGTGTTTAATGCTAAAAAACCATAAAACAAATCTGATGTAGAATGGACTTTGTTACATCGACAGGTGTGTGGGTATATCAAGCAGTGGGTAGATGATAATGTTTTGAACCATATTAGTGGAGAGACACATGCACGTTCTTTATGGAGTAAACTTAAATAGCTATATGCTAGACAGACTGGAAATAATAAATTGTTTCTGATTAAGCAGATGATGGCTTTGAGATACCAGGACGGGACTCCTTTATCTGATCACCTGAATACATTCCAAGGAATTATTAATCAGCTGGAATGGGTATTAAGTTTGATGATGAGATACAAGGGTTATAGTTGCTTGGTTCATTATCGGACTCATGGGAGACGCTCAGAACTTCATTGTCTAACTCCGCTCCAGAAGGTGTAATCACAATGGATATGGCCAAAAGTTGTTTGCTAAATGAAGAGATGAGAAGAAAAACATAACGATTCTCTTCACAGTCAGAGATCTTGGTTACAAAAAAGAGGGGGAGAAGTAAGAGCAGAGGTCCGAAGAACAGAGATAACAACAGAAGCAAGTTCAACAAGTTTGCAAATGTTGAGTGTTATCATTGTGGGAAAAAGGGACACATCAAGAAATATTGCAAGCAATTGAAAAAAGAAAACAAGAATGAGAAAGAGAAGGGAACGAAGAATGGAGATGACAAAGATGGTGATGACAGAGTTACTACCACCACCCCTGCAGACTTCCTCATTGTTTTATGATGATGAGATGATAAATGTTGCATACCATGAGACTAGTTGGGTGATTGACAGTGGTGCCTCGGATCCGAGACACGGGTTGATCAGGCCCAGGCCCAAACCCGAGGGAATATCAAACAATTAATATTTTATAATGAACACGGAATACAAAATAAATTAAGAAATGAAATTAAAGCTGGAAGGAACTAAAAATAGAATCCGCAAAATATTATAATTATTAAAATCCATCAAACCCAAACTCCAAAACTCCATCAGTTTACAACTTGGGAATCCATCTCTAGTGGACCCCTATTAAACATCCAAACGGAAAATAGAACAACTGTAATAAACGTCTAGAAATAAAACTATAGAGAGAGCCCTACATCGTCGGAAGAGTGAATAGAGACCTCTGCTCAGCACGAACACGTCTAAGCCTGGAATTGTCGTGTACCTGAAAAATAGAAGTGGGTCAGGCCCACGCGCAAGTTCTGTACTACTACAATCTAAACAGAGGCCCGATACGCATGTACATCCTAAACCATTCAACAATAGCTAATAGTCCGTAAATATATATATAGTCACACTAAAGGACTCTCACTGGACTACAGGCCGGTCTCAACCTGAATAGAGGTAACATGTTAAAACGCACACGAAGTGGGCATATGTACCTATACCTAAACAGGGTACACCTCCAACCATCATAGCCAGCTACACATCCCGATGCATATACGCTCCCTGGCCATCGGTCCTGAGGCTCAAGCTCATACCGAGGCACCATAACAGTACATATATAAAATCCACCCAAAATCCTTGGTATTGCCACTCAACAAGTAGTTGCCATGACAATACAAATCCACGGGACTTAACTTTTAGTTAATCCCATCCTTATTCCAAGTAGGTGGGTAATGGTATTGTTTTAAAAACGAAACCCATCCTTAGTATGCCACCATCCCATACCGGTGCCTACTTTCCAATCCTCTAGTAGTCAATAATACTAATAAATCAAGTATATATATCAACTAAATTCCAACATCCAACATTCAATGTTAGCAGTGATAAAATAAGCATTGATAAACAGGGTCACAACAACAACATATACATGCCCAATTTAAGTTGTTCCCTTTAGTCTGATATAAAGACAGAATTAATTAAAACTTCCATTTAACACCTTACAAATGACATACAGATATGTAGGGTAGGTATCACAAAATCCTAACCTCCACAGTTGATACTAACTGTGATAATGTAAGTATCAAAACAATATTCACAGTATGTATGTAGACATGCTCAAATTATAGTGTTCCACAAAACCGATCTAGTGTTAAACTCAATTCCTCCTAGTATTTAAGTTCCAACAGTTGCTATTATAGAAGTTAAGATAGCTATCATCTAGACCCATCCTTCCAATAATTTATACAAGTAGTGGTAAGGAAAAACGTGAACCACAGAACCACAATGCATCCACAAACATGCTTAGTCTAGGTTGAACAAGCATACAACACTACTGTAACTACCAGTTTCATAGCAAAACAGATATCATTTTAGTTTGGTTTAATCTTTATTAATCCTGAAATCATTCAAGAGTGCAAAGAGTATGAAGCCTAAGGGAAAGAGTAAGGATAGAATCTTGCCTCAGAAACTTTTGTTCAAAGTTTCAACGTCGTCTTCTTAAAAAAAAATCCCGGCGAGTTCCAAAACCCGGTTACTGTTCACGGGTACGAAATACTATTCCTGAACTCAAAATCTGATCTCTACCGTTCAGATTGTGCAACACTGAGTCATGAACCTATCCTACAAATTTCAGCTCGATCGGACCACGGACGAAGTGAAATCGGATGTTTGATGAAATCTGGGCAGAATGGAAAAAAACCAGTGCGACCCGGTTACTGTTCACGAGTACGAATCACTATTCCCGAGGTTAAACTCTGATCTTCACCGTTCAGATTGTGCGTCACTGAGTCATGAGCCTATCCTCCAAATTTTAGCTCGATCGGACCACGGACGAAGTGGGATCGGATGTTTGATGAAATCTGGGCAGAATGGAAAAAAACATGTGCTACCCGGTTACTGTTCATGAGTACGAATCACTGTTCCCGAGGTCAAACTCTGATTTTCACCGTTCAGATTGTGCATCACTGAGTCGTGAACCTCTCCTCCAAAATTCAGCTCAATCGGAAGACGGACGAAGCGGGATCGGAGCTTTGATCAAACCTTGGCAGAATGTGAAAAACTGCATTTTTCCTTCTCCACT